TGACCTGCATGTCCCACAGTCTGATGTGATGTTAACTTCCACAGGAGGAAATAGAACAGCAGGTGACAGACATCAAGGTGCCACTGACTCTGTTTGCTCCATTTCACCATGAGGATGGTAAGCAGAGGACATTCTTAACTTACATCGTAACTAAGTGGGAGTTTTAACTTGTAGGGGAAGATGCGCCAACATCGTAACTAAGTGGGACTTTTAACTTGTAGGGGAAAATGCGCCAAGATTTTGAGGGGGTAAAGGGTTGTTTGACTGCTGGTATCAGACTTGCTGAGGTAAAGTGTTTGTGGAATATCTTTTGGGTGGAATATCTTGTAGTTAGGCGGTTTGAATTTTGTGTCAGAAACTGAGTGTCAACTGCCTTGTTTCTATTTTCAGAGCCACAAACAGAGGACCTGGAAATTGAGAGGCCTGTCACTCCCATTGATGTAAGTATGGCATCCTGACCTTTTCTTTGAGTTTGAGCAACAGAGACATCAGGTCATGATGTTCACAAAGTCACATGGCTGAACCTTAAATTGAGAAGACGGGTATTAAAAGTAAACTTTTTTAGTGGTCTGAAACAGAAACAAAACAATTGATTTGTTTTATGTTTTAGGAGAGTATCAAGGCCCCACCTGCGACGTTTGGTGTGCTCGCTAAGCTGGTGAGAAGGAGGATCTGTGTGAGGACAGACATGAGGCACATCTCCACTGAGGACCAACAGAGCCTGGTATGTGCCAAGTCTGGATAGGCTCGTTAGCAGTCATAGAAAGCATCATGATTGTTTAGATATGGATAAAATGTCTTGTTTTGTAGTAATTTGTTAGAATGGTCTAATGTCTAATGAATATAAACAAATACAAGCATGTTACATATGTTACCAAGATTTTAATGGAAATCTGAAAAACAGACTTTACTCAACATCTACCTACCTTTCCAGTATCTGAAATAGGTACCATCATTTTACATTATCTTGCAGGGTGGGATCATCATGGGGGAGCTGAATTCCATTTGGCCTGATATCAGAAGACAAGTAGATGATCCATTTCTGGTAAGTGGTGTCCCATAGCAATGTAACTCTTTTGAATCCTGCTCTACAGTTGTTTCCCTTGTCAGTTCTCATTTGGGAGACGGTAATAAGATTACCAGGATGAAAGACTGTCATTTTCTGTTATATGGGTACTGAGAGGAGCCTGAGGCATACCAAGAATAACTACAGTACAGCCACACATTTGAATCTGTTACAATAAGCAGGTGCTTGTAAGATTACTCATTTCACTGTGCTGTGCTGACACTGCTTCTGAAAATGGTAGTGAGGTAACATTTTTTATGTTTTCAGTCTGCAGAGCAGAACAAAGAGCTGCAGAGAAGGATAACTGTGCACATCGTTACCGTGTGTGAACAACTGTTCCTCCACTATCTGCAGAAGGCAGAAGGTAGGATTGTCAATAAGCGTGAATTATCCACCATTTTGTTTCCTTCTAGGTAAGAATGCCAGAATGTAGTAAACAACATACTAGTACTAGTAGTTTCTAAAAATGACTGAACTGATTTTTGAGAAATTTGTTTCTGAGACTGAGTTGGCTTGTTTTTTCCTATGCCTGCTAAACAGTTTTAAACAGGAGAGGAATCTTCAGTGGTCCAGCCAACATGAGCCGTCTGAGAACTCAACTAGGGATCGATGCTAACAAATAGTAAGTTTTGGATGATGATTCCTTTGGTTTAGTACTGTATCTTCACCGTCAAGTGCTCCTTAAAAAAACTAGCCGGAAGACTAGTGGTCATTGAAACAAATGTGTTTTGTTTTAATCTGCAAATATTTTGGTTTTTGGATACTTCTTTGATTTGGAAATATGAGTTTTCATTTTGTGTTCTGTCAGTTTGAACATCCTAGCCATCCGGCGCTACATAGTGGGAGACATGAGGAAGAAGCCAGATGATGCGGAGGCTGATGTGAGTGACACTGGGTACGATTATTCCTCCCGGGCTCCCACAACAACTATCTCCCCTTCCATGATGGAGAAGAAGAAGAAGAAACAGGGATTACAGCCATTATCCTATCAACAAATGGTACAGTAGCTGCATCTTTGCTTTTTTATGATACAGTAGTTTTACAGGATTGTAATGCAAAACCCACAATGTTGTGGTCATTCTATTTTTGTATGCTGATCAAGTTTAAATTTTGTGTACAGTTCACACAGTGTCTTTCTGTGCTCTTTGCAGCTGGAACTGAGCAGACCACAATCAAGGAGGAAAGTGAAAACTAATACTGAGAGGGAAATCAGAGATGTGAGTAGCTTAACACCACAGTACAGCTACCAGGAGGTACTAAAAGTAGTAGGGAGCTGTAGTTATATGTACATATTTTGTATCCTGGAATTTGTGAGACAAAGATAATACTCTAAACCATAAGGAATATAATGACAGCTACATGTACTATAAATGATCCATATACACTGTATTCCTATTTGTTTTGAGGACATGTTTATAATAAATTGTTCTGTTAACAGATGTATAATCAGATGCCAGTGATAGACACTGAAGTCCTGGAGGATCTCATGCCCCGCCCACCGTCTGAGTACGAAGAGGGATATGAAGTACCAGGTAAACTGGATGTGGCATATGAAAAGTTTTGCATGATACCAGATCTTGCATTGTATTAGTATAGGACTTGGACTTGGTGTAACAGGCCAAACTATACCCCTGGTCAGAGTACACCTGGGTATACTGGTATTCTGGCCTGGGGCATAGTCTGGTCTGCTACCCCTGTACTGTTAAAATGTCATCAAACTCATTACCCTGGGTTGGCCACAGGGCAGGTTTTCAAACTTACTGAGCAAGTTTTGCTATTATATTATAAGGTTGAGTGTATGATAGAAATTATAGTCATACAGTTTAGAAGCTCACTGATTTGAAAGTTCACCTTGAACAAAAAAAAGCCCAATACGGTTGTTGACTGATGAGTGACAGCATGATGTGCAAAATATACTTTCTTACGTTTCTCCCCATGTTATTTGTAGATATCATGTCTGTGCACAGTCGAAGTCAGATGACTCTGGCAAGTGAGAGAAGCAGCCAGATGGACATTGGAAAGTAAGTTATCTTCTGCAGTCCTTCAATTGTTAGTCAGACAACATATGATTACAGCCTGTATGACCTTACTTGGTAGGTCCCAAAAGAGAAACTCCTCTTATTCCTGTCTTTAAAAGAGTTGTATCAAATTTGATGTAGAGTTGATTATTTGTTATATCTTTTTTCAGTACATGTTTGTCATCCCACTACATTTGTAGGTTGATGATAGAAAAAAATACAATAATTGCAGTTAATTACAATAAATACATGCTGTGTAATGAATGATTTACTGGTTAGCTGTGTAACAGACCAGAATATGCCCCTTGCCAAGTGCACCTGGGTATATTCTCACAAGGACTATATGGCCTGTTACACCTCAAGTATACATAGGAAGCAGAAACTAGAAACTATTAGGTGGTGGGACAGATTCAGCAACCATGCAGGAGCTGTGGGACAGAGCCGGTCAGAAACCCATCAGAGAACAGATTCTAAAGAGGAAATGGTCCTGGATGGGACACTGAGGAAGGCCAACTCTAGTATCACTCAGCAGGCCCTGACCTGGAATCCACACGATAAGAGGAAGAGGGGTAGACCCGAGAACAGCTGGAGAAGGGACACAGAGGAGGAGATGAAGAGTATCAGCACCAGCTGGCAGGACCTGAGAAAGAAGGCCCAGAGACGAGTACAGTGGAAGAACATCATCGGTGGCCTATGCCCTGACAGGGGCGAAGGGCCTAAGTAAAAAAGTAAGAAACTAGAAGACCTAATACCCAGTAATGCTTTAATCAGTAAAAACTGTTCCTTCCCAGGAGACTTGCAACTGCAGATGAGACCTTCAGACTACAGAAGTCCCAGTCCATGCCAGAACTCGATGCTGGGGAAAACCTGCTGGAGGAGTTGAGTATTCACCTGGACGACAAGGCCACAGCTGTCACCATCGACTTTCAGCAGGAGAGACGGGCTGCAACACCAGAGGAACCATTAGTCTCAAGACCTGTAAGATCCGCTAAACCCTGCTCTATTGTGTAACCTATGTCACTTGTTTAAGTAACATGCTAACACAACACATACTTTGAAACAACAACCATTAAGGAAATGCCAAGAGGCCTTCTTGCATCTTGTATACTCTGCTGTAGAGAAGTAGCCTTTTGGCACCAAACCTGTGTTGGTTACAGGTTTAGGCAGCCGTGAGAAGTTTAAAGCATATTTAAAGGAAAAATTCTGAAGCATTGAAAAAAATGAAGTGGAAAAGGCCTGCATAGTGTGGACTGACTTTATTGAAGAGTCAGCTTTGTTGGAGGTATCAATCTGTTTCTTTTTCTCTTTACTCAGATCCCAAGGAAGCCAACCAAAGAAGATGAGGAACGAAAAAAGTGAGCATGGCTGAAATATACTGTAGTTTAAAGCACCACCTAGGGCTGTAGTACTCCCATCTACAGGCGTCTATCTATCTGCATTGTACAAAAAATAAAGGCACATGGTCTAAACTTGATGCACCATGCAAATATCATTGGCAACACAGTTGCACGTTGTCCTTCCTTTGCAATAATATACAGAAACTGGCATAATTTACAACTGCATAAAATGAATTAACAGTCAATAGACATCATGTTTAATGCAAGACTATAGTAACTTGTTAACCCTGCCGTCCCACCAGACTGGACAGCAGACAGTACCTGGCAGATGACTTACAGAAGCTGGTGGCTGCCAGAGCTCCTCAGGAACCTGTCGAGGGGGACCAGGATGAGGAGGACCTGCCTCCGCTGCTACAGGTCAGGGAAAAGTCATGTGAAAGTTATTTGGAACCAGTTAAGATTAAATGACTTCAATGAACAGTTGAGCTACTTTTCTGTATGCTGTGACACATAAAACAGATGATTTGTACACTGTTTGATTATTATATACTGTTTGTTGTACTGAGAAAGTACATGTACATTGTACAATGAACATTGTACAATGAACAGTGAACCACAGTTTAATGTCCAGTTCTAATAAGTACTGCAACCTTCTGTAGTAGCATAAATGTTGAGTAAATGTCACAGCTGGGATTTAAACTCACATTCATATAAGTCAGTTTTCCATCAAAGGTAAATGTCCCTAACTTGTAAACACTCTTATCTAGACCATGTCAATACTATATGTATTGTTTTGTTTATGTCTCAGGAGCCTTCAACTTTGACATATAAACCATGATGCATCACACTGCACATATGCAGATTAAGCTCATTGATTATTTCACCTATTGTACATTCATTCTTCCTTCCTTCCTTTCTGCCTGCGTCAGGCCACGACCACAGGTGAGGAGTCTGAGGAGAAACAGCAGGCGCTGCAGGCCCGGCTGCAGGAGCTGCAGGAGAAGGAGGCCAGGGAGCTGCAGGAAGAAAATATTCCCCTGGCACAACCTACACACCCCCAGCCTGCAGTGGTATCTACCAAGATGTCAAAGAAGGTTGGTACTCAAGTTGAAAGTAAAACTCAAGAGTAGGTTTTTTGTCAAGCTGAAGGGTTACCTGTGGGAATTGTACAATGTATAAAGTGTTTTTCAAGTGGATGTCTTTGTTGACTCAGAAAAAAGTGTCTAGCAGCTAATTTCAGCACATACACTAACAGTACTAGTACATGTACATGTATCATGAACAAAGACCAGATGCAAGCTTCAATGAGCTAATCATAGTGTGGTTTTTGGATATATCCCGACAATGCAGTTTAGTTGGGTATGATTTTCACCTACTTGAAGATTGGGTCTGTGGTACTAATGAAATATTGAGGGACTATAATTTTCCTGTATTACCGGTACAAGTTATTCAAGATGACTAGCTGTGGGATTGCAAGCTTTACCTTTTGGTGCTTTTGGCTCATTTGAGTCACAATGAATGTGATGATGGAGGATAATGATCTTAACTACATTTACACATACTTTATGGATGAATATTTAGATGGTGGTGAGGACCAGTGATGTAAGGGTCAGTGAACGGGTCAGCCTGTCAGCCCTCACCATCCAGCGGTCAGCGACTCTTTACAATGACCTTCAGGGGGACATTACCCCCTCGGACATCAAACACTTGGACAGGAACCTGTTTCTGCACAAGGAGATCAACGATGTGTACCAGGAGATCATGAGGACTGTGCCCACAGACCACGTGTTGTTCGATCAGGTTTGATATCTTGATTATACTTACAGCATCTTTAGAAGGCATTTCTGCTTTCTGCTTTTCATTTCAGATTTAGTAGTACATTATGTGTCTTTTGCCCTTTACTCTAATCATGTTACCTAGCTCAGTTTATGGTTCCATACTTGGCTTTAGTGTCTAAGGTACAACTTCTAATGAATTTATCCTGTCATTTTAGGATGACATTGTTGAGAAGCATTCTACCAACGTAGACGTGTCCAAAGCTGTGGCGTCGTCAACACTGTCCAAGCGTAAGAAGGACCGTATCATCAACCCCAGCCTGCAGGTGGGGAAGAGGGCCCCCTGGGGTGAGGGAGACATGAGAGACTGGGCCAAGAGGTAGGCATGGCTTTTATTTGCAACCCCATTAGGCCACACCAATTTGATTTCTTGGTTAACGGATTTTTCTAGAAAAATAATGGAGCGGGCGGGCGAAAAAAAATAAAAACAGGCCTAGGTATCCTATTATGGCCCAAATTGGTATTATAGGAGCCATGAAGTCAAAACACCAGGCTGGTTCAAAATTTAAACAATGAATTTTGAACTTTTAATGATACCATTGCATTGCAAGATGGAATAACTGTAACAACTAGTATGAAAAGGACTGTTTTCAACTGTTCAGGGCAAAATACGAGCATTCTGCAGTTCATTCTGAATTTTTATTTTTATTTGCAAATCAGAAAAAAATGAAGCGGGCGAATCCGTTAACCAAGAAATTAAATTGGTGTGGCCTTAGACTCCTCTAACCGTTACGGCATCGCATCACCTCATATTACTGTTGTGATGTGTCAACTTGTTAGAGTCTCATCTTTTATTCTATAGTTTTATCTAAAACTTCTGTTTATCACTATTTGCTTGTTTATCTTTACATTTTGTCATTTATTTTCTTATTTTGCAGATGATTTGAAAAGCTTCTTTTGAGTTTAAATGTGCATTTTCTCAATCTGCATGTTTTTTCTTCCAGCGCTATGTTTGCTAAGACAGTTGTGTTATGGGGGAAAGAGCAGCATAGGATAAAGCAGAGGAAAATTAATCGCCGCAAAAAAATAGTCAGAAGGGCATTGCAGAAAGGCAGACTATTGGCTAAAGTCAAGCTGGCCATGGCTGGGACAAAAAGCTTAGGAAAACCTGGAGTTCTGGCCAAGAGCTTAAGGAAACCTACAAATCTGGCAAAGACCTTAGGGCAACCTCAAAATGTGGCAAAGAGCTTATGGAAAACTGAGAATCTGGCAAAGAGCTTAGTGCAACCTCAGGATTTGGCAAAGAGAATAGTGCAAACTGAGGATCTAGCAAAGAACTTAGGGCAACCTGAGGATCTGGCAAAGAGCATAGGGCAACCTCAGCATCTGGCAAAGAGCGTAGGGCAACATGAGGATCTTGAAGTTGCTAGACAGTCCTTCAGGCAATGCAGTGATGCTGGGTAAGGTAGTAAGACTAAAAGGAGTTAGTTGTTATGCTTTATGCATTATTGCTATGCTGGGAATGTCGTTTAGGAGTTGTATCTTTCCCAATGGACCTCATACGACTTGTACTTCTTTTTGAAAAGAACCCAACACACTAATTGTCTTCTTTCCTTTGTTGAGCAGTCCTGTTATACAGGCACCCGGCACAGCTGCAAAGCCAGGACCTGTCATGGTAGGTTTCTCTAATTTAAACCTCATCCTTATATAGGACTTCTATTGTGGTTTCGATGGTAACGAACAATGAAGGATTAAGACTGTATATAGATTAAGCATAAACACCCAACACTATTAACAACATTGCTAGTGTTGTCTAATTTATTTGATTTGCATCACCTAGCAACTCAAAAAAGAACTATATATGATAAATTAGAAAGTCAGAACAAGATGTAACTGCAGTGTTGATATGTAGTATTAAGAGTAATATAAATGATTCACCAAACTTTGCCCATTAGATTTTTGTAATATCAAAGTGGTCTTGCTGGTGTTTGTGACTAAAATGTTGCATGACATTGGATTTTAACCAATTTAACTTTCACAATTTGATATGTCAATTAGTAAGGGGTGCATCTTCCAGTCATGATGTGGAAACTACAACCAAAGCATTCTCCCTGATGATATAATTGAACTCTAGTTGTAGCACTCCACTCATCACCTTGTTTTCACAGGACAAGGACATGGAGACGATTTTTGCCAGCCTGCCGCCCTCCCAGCACACCAGTGACCAGAAGTCATCCCGGGCGTATGCCTCCTGGTTGGCCTGGTGGAAATCTACCATCAACACCGACGACTATCTCAAGTACCTCTCCACACAAGTAAGAAGCTAGGAACAGTGTAGTCTGCACTTACAATGTACCAAAACTGACAGCATTGGAGACACCGTTGCATGTTCTGACACCCCTACATGTATGTACCCTTATGTTCTGACATTATACTAAGGCTTAGGGTTATCAAAACATGAACATAGGTGTGTCAGAACTTAGAGGTGTAACTGGGCAGCATCAATGTCCCACATTAAGAAAAATGATGACTTCATACAAGCCTCTGTTTGAAAAGCTGTATTCCACATTAACCTGGATAAGTATAGAAGCTCCACTATGTTCTGTTGACTGGCACACTAACACAGCTCCGGCATATCAACTCATTGTGAGATCACGTTTGTCTCAGGAGTCAGACTTCATGGGCGTGGTGTTCCACTTCTACGACAGCGAGGATAGCGAGGATGAGGAGGAAACAGAGCAGGGGAAACGTCTGACCAGCAAGAGGCAGCAGCAGGCGCTGTAAGTGATAATCACTTCTACTGCCTACAGTGTGTCTGTACACAGTACACAGTACACCTTCTCCAGTTGTGAGCTTTGATAACAGTTTAAAGTCTGTCCCTTGTGTTAATCTCAAATAGAAACCATCTATACATCCATCTAGTGACCTTATGACCTGATTACCAGGCTTACGTTCAGCTGTGTTGGTCATCTGGTTATGGCTGTCTGAAGTGTCTTCAACCCTTAATTAACATATGACGAGGAAAACTTTGTACAATGAAAATTACACTTTTTGAATGAAGCTTTTTCTCCCCATCCTTGTCACACCTCCTGCAGTGAAAAGGAACAGAAGATCGAGGAACTGCGTCAGAAGAAGACAGAGTTTGTCTCTGGCATGTGGAATGTCAACAGCATCCTGCTAGGTGGGCTGGGGAGGGACCCATCAGTAGAAGGTATGTGCACTGAGTTTGCTGAATCCAAATCCACAGATTCTGCTTCTTTGCTTCTAATATGAGATATTTGAGTCTACAAAGGCACACTGCCAGGTTGAGTTGCAATCAACCTTTGGGCATGGGTTTATAATAAGTTATTTACATGATTTGTTGACAGATGATGAAGGATACCCGTCCAGTTTAGAGGAGACCCCGCGGGCAGACAGGCTGCAGGCTTCCCCGTCAGGCCTGTCCCCTGGAAGGTCCTCCTCCCACCCGGCTTCTGCTCGCTCCCCGTCGTCACTGGGGGTTCCTTCACAGAAAGGCTCTGGGTCCAGGACAACTACAGCAGGAACTAGTAAGAAGTCAGGGGAGGGAGAGGCCAAGGAGACAGAGGTGAGTGGTGTCAGGGAAATCTATCAACACCTATCTGTCAAAATTCTTTATTCACAACCTAAAAGACAAAATAGTAACTCAGCTACAATGTACCTTCCGTAGGGCCTGAGTGGATTGTTGTTTTGGTAACCTTTTCAAATTTGGAATTTCAAGACAAAATTTCAAACACTTGACCAAAGAGTTGTTGCTGCTGTGCCTGTACAGAAGCCAGTAGATCTGACTGCCCAGGAGAGGCTGGAGAAGGTGTGGTCAGACCTACAGATGCCGGACGGACAGAAACTGGACATGGCCATCAAGTACAGCTCAGATGCTTACATCAGCAAACTTCCCGAGGTAGGGGATGATCTGACATGGGCAAATAACATGCATTCTTTCCTATATTAGATTGGTTGATAGGCAGGTGTCCTGTTGTTGGCCATTGTCAAAATTGTGAAAAAAAATCTATCGCTCTTCTTTCAAACCTGAAGAGGGCTGCAATAGGCACAGCCCAAAAGTCATTACATTTTTCTTGTGTTTCATCACGATTAGCTATCTGCCAATTCTTTCTTTTCTACTACTATGAATTGAATGATATAGACTCTAATACGTCTGTTGATATAATGGATGCTTTTGATTTCAGTCCATCAAGGCATGGGAGAAGGCCACATGTCTGATCTTGAAACGAGAGGCAGCGCTGTCCCAACTGGAAAGATTTGAACGACAGGCCTCTGATCCCAACAGGTTTTTTGAAAGAGGTACTTAGTTTTTGTAGCTTGTATTTTAATAGTTTATCACCTTGGCCCCCAGGTAACGTATGTTAGACTCAATATGTACAGGTGCTACACAGTGCAAAGTTATACTGGTACATTAATAGGTTCAAATCATCATGAAGACTTTTTAAGTGTCATCTCTTGTTACCATGTGATAGAGAAGGGTGGAAACTGCTATGGAATCACAATATTTAACCAAGGAAATATAATTTTGATGATCCTCTAATTTTCTTTTTCATTGTCGTTTTCTGCTAATGAAACTTGTACAATGTACTTACAGGGTACAGAGGGTCCTCTGTGGCCAGAATGGAAGAGTCCAAGCAACGGACAGAGCTTCTGAGGGTAAGAGTTGGTCACAGACAAGGATGTTATTACAGAATCTATGATTTTTTTAACATGTAAAAATTAAGTGCTACCAGTTTTTCTTCAGATTGACAGTTTTGTGCATAATGTATTTTTTATGATAATAATTTTCTCTTTGTTCACAGCGTCTTGATGTTCTGGACAAGAAGGCTGGTGATGCTGTAAAGAAAGTTGCCAAAAATTTCCAGGATAGCATTTCATTTCAGGTACAGATGTCAATACATTTTGTAAAACTTTATGCAAAGGAGGACATTGATAAAAACATAAGGACAAGGAGAAAGCCTCTGTCAGTTTTTATGTTAATCTTTCAGTTTAGTGTAATTCTTTTAAGTGAGGAGCAACAGATTGAACTGTTCAGCCCTAAAGTGTAATGTTTCTGAGAAACTAGATGTTCTATCGTTTTCCTGCAGGGCCGCCCATATATGGACAAGATGAAGTGGGACCGGACAGAGATGTTGTACTGGCTGCAGCAGGAGAGGAGGGAGCAGGCTCTAGAGATAGGCATGATGACTCAGGTACCGGTCAAGGTGGCCGAACTGGCTCCCATATCACTGTCCAGGCCTGTGCTGTAAGACTCACCACTTTTGATACCAGCTGAAGTCATTCTAGTTGTGGATTCCTGTGTTAGCTTGTGAAAGCAGCTTGTTACAGTGCCTAAACCTTACAGAAATCTGGTGAAAAAGTACCTGTGGCTGTGATACAGCTTTGCCCATACATGTACAATATAATCCCGTCCAAAAGGGCACAGATGTACTGTTTAGTCCAAGTAGATTGTGCCAAAATTGTTAAAGCCATTTCACGACTTACAAGACTGCATTTTCTGCAGTCTGAAATGGTTTGCTGCACTACTGGTATTTATTGTAGGGTGACGACGTGTGGCCATGTGTGAAATCACTGCTTGTGTACTGCCTTTCCACAAGTTTATTTGATAAAAATGTTTTGAGAATAGCTTAAACTTTGAAATCTATCCAAAGATTTCCCATGTGAGGAAAGGCCACAAAAAAGAAAAATCTTCAAACTCATATGTATGATGTACACTGGTCTATGCAATACTGTTGATTTGCACAATCTTGTCATTCTTGTAAACAAAGGTACCTTTTGAACACATTGAATTATGTCTTTTGTGCCTTGTGATTCTTTTAGAGTTATTATATGGGGGGATGGAAGAGGTAGGCCACAATCCCAATCAGATGACACCAGCTCATCCTCTTGATTGGCAGATACTGGTAGATTTAATTAAACAAGGTGTGTGCTTCATTGCCAGTTGGGTATGCAAAGAAAATCACATTTCATGAAAGTCTGAGTAATACTGTAGATCTCAAAAATCATGACTCAAGACATATGACTTTGCATTTTCATTCTATTGATGCTGGTTTGCAAAATTTTCAACTGGGAACTTGTTACACACAATAACCACATTTACCCTCCTACGGCCAAATAAGTACCAGTATGTTATTGGACAAACACTGATTTAGAGAAATGTCACTAGTTAACAAGTCATCATGTCTTAATTCTCAAGTTTACCTCACACAAACAAGGCAGTTATCCACAGTGTGTCTAATAGTAGTAATATAATTTGCTCTATTGGTGTTGTAATTATATAATGAAAATGCACTACATCTATTGGTGCTGTATGGCATCAAATTTTGTGCTGGTTACTTAGGAAACCAAGTGCTGAGGATTGCACAATTTATAATAAAAGTAAATAATATACTCACAAAAAAATAAAGAAAAAATATGCATAGTTGCAAATTTTTCAGTGTGTTGTAGATGGAAACTACAATATCATCTACAATAAATAAACAAATTTAAAGAGCACATCACCCCTACTGGCCTTATATACATGTATGTCTTCCGTGAAAACTGGCAACATTGCCTTGCTGTAGGGCTAGTCCTCTTACCTAAACCAGCTGACAGTATACTGTATACCAAACCTTTTGTCATGCAAATAACACTCAAAGCTAAACACAATGTATATCCATTTACACCTGTTAAAGCAATATATTCCTCTCCTAGATATACTCAAGAAGAACACAGTATGGTTCAAGCACAATTTAAAAGAAATCAAACATCACTAAGAATCTTCTATCGGCCAAGCCTTGGAAGACAAGGTTGGCCTAACTTGAGGTACCTCAACAATACAATCTGAATGTTAAGTCACAATTCTATACATCAATTTATCATGCTGACAGTTGGATTCACTGGAAAATTTACATACTATGCAATTATTTCACTTAACTGCCATGAGATGTCAGCATGTCAAAGATTTACAAATAATTAAAAAAAAACATTATTTGTTCAGAAATTCTGTTGCTGATTGGATAGCTATACTGATGATTGACAGCTGCTTCTGGACAGTAGCCCACTTTCCTGTGGACTCCACCTCCTTCATTGCACCAAACAGTCCAGGGAAAGTGTTCCCCCTGTACTGGCAGACTCCCTCCTCAAGCTGCAGGCAGTCATTTTTGCTGGGTGACAACAGCAGGTGTTTGTAGAGGGGTTTCTCAAGGACACCACCAGGGATCAAGAACAAGCGGTCCACTTGCATCATCTTATCATTGACCCGGCGAACTTCCAGGGGGTTGGCGACGTCTGTTTTTGCAGCTTTTGCTTCTGCCAAGGCGGCTGCCAATGCAAACTCCTCGGAAGCAACCTTTACCTTGCTTAAGTGTAATTCTAGCCCCTGCTGCTCAAGCTTGTTTTTGTAGGATGCCTCTGCTGCATTGGTGAAGTCTTCGATCATCTTAGCGTACCCACCTAGACTGAACGGAAGGAGGGTTGAATCAGACAGCCTCAGCAATGTGTTTCCAAGAACTTGGGTTACTGCCCTGTGGTAAGACATGTCTGGATCAATAAAGTTCTTCACATAGTAGTAGTTGTCATACACTGTGTGATAAACTGGGTAAAAGGACTAGTTAAAGCTAGGGTCCAAAGTGTACTGAAGGTCCAGAGATGGTACTCCTGCTTGGAGTAGGAATGCGGCATAGTCGCTGCCAGCTCCAAGAAGGTCAACTTTTGGGGTCTGTGCGTCAGGACCTGCTGGAAATCTCTCAGCCCATTCATCGTACACACTGAAGACCCCATGAGGATCTCTGACAGTCTTGCTGGCATCCTGCACAACCTTCTGCAGAAGTGGGCTAGCTTCAGCATAGAAGGAGTAGTTCCCCATCACAGCTCCATCCAAGTTCAGATAGGCCACAGCTTTCTCTCCCATCTCTTTGATATTTTCCTCTACCCACTCTGTGGAGCCAATCTGTCCAAATTCACCTCCGTCCCAGCTGGCAAATATGATACTTCTCCTTGGGCGCCATTTCTTGTTCAGCAGCAGTCCAACAGTACGTACCAGCTCCATGAGGCAGGCAGTACCAGTGCTTGGTTCCACTCCTCCGTAGGTCCAGGCATCACGATGGTTGCCAACGACAACGTACCTGTCTGGCTCAACAGCTCCAGGAATGGATGCAATCACATTCTTGACCTGCTTAATTGATTGTTTGTTATTGATCTGCACTCTGACTTGTCTGTTGTTTTCTGCCCTCTGGTCTATCTGTTGTGTCATCCCCCACCAATCAGGTGGGGCAGTGGTTCCATCCAAGAGTCCCAAGACCTTCCTTGCATCAGCTATGCTGATTGGCTGAACAAGGATGCCTGGCAGGTCAGCGTCACTCTCATTCAAATGGAACATCCCTTCCAAGGCAGGATACCCAGGGGTCAGAGGGTCACCGTATGTAATGCGTACATCACCCCGGAATACGCCGTCTTCTGGTAGCGTCCATCCCCGGTCAGCCCCCGCGGGTTGGTACTGTGCTGGATCAGGATACAGCAGAAGAGCAGCTGCACCTGCCATCTCAGCATGCCTGACTTTGTCCCCGACATACACCTGCCCCAGGCGGGCGATCGCTATCTTACCTGTCAAGTTGACCCCTTGATTTTCCAGGTAATGAAAATCCTCTCCACGCCCAAAGTTCACATAGACAAGTTTTCCTGTTGCACTTCCGCTTTTACTGTATGCAGCATAGGGTAGGACGGTGCTGTCGCGGGGAGACTGGGCATCATCGGGTGTCAATGTCTCTGTCACGCTGTCACCACTCATCAGGAACACTTTGTTAGGGTTTGATGCATCAGGGTAGGACAGGAGTGCATAGTAGGACCTGACTGTTGTGTTCAGTCCCCAGTCCTGCCACATACCAGTGATGTCTTCAGCCATGATTCCTACTTCCTGCGTCCCTGCCAGGTGTGGTGCCGTGGAGAAACGTCTCAGCTGCTCTTCCAACTCCTCCAAGCTGACTTCCTGAAGGAGCTGTCCTGCGATCTTTTCATCATAGTCCTGCAACATTCCACCACAGGGAGATGATGTCTTCTTATGGACTTCTCTCCGTATGACATATCCGATGACAAGACCGAACATAAAGATGAGGATAATGATGAGAATTTTGATGACGATTCCTTTCACCCCTGTCTGCCAGCTGCCCTCCCCCCCTACAACACGGGGAGCCTGCCCCTCGGTGCTGACACTCACACTGTCCAGGTCGGACTGCCAGCGGGAGTATGGCTGGGTGCTTCCTGCTTGAGCTCCTGACTCCTCCTCACCTGCCATGGTCTTCCACTGGTATACTTCTGGAAAATACATATAGACGCTAGATACCAAAGTACCACTAGACTTCAAATATTACACATGTATTGGAATGATAATACAGTACAGTGTATATCATATACATGACCTGACCTGCTTGTATCGCTAATTTATAGCTGCCTGACCAACTTCGGTCAGCCTCCTGTGCTTGTTAACCTTAGAATAGCCACGGACAATGGTGTTTGTGTTTCACGGGCTAATACATGATCTCACATGCAAAATATATACACTTATGAATAAGTACTCATTAATAGTCAAGTGAAGTCGAGGTATCACATGATGACAAATATAAAGTATCACATGATAGTAAATAATAGGTATCACATGATGGTACAGAAATAATATCGTGATAAAATCTGGACCGAGCTACCGTGTGCATAGCCGCACAGCTGTCGTTACAAGGTTATTCCCACCGAGCATGTAATACCGATGTACTAGTAAGCCCCTCCCACCCGCATCCCAGAAAACAGGACATGGCAAATTTTTGCACCATATGCGGGGCACATACTTAAAACTAATTACGATTTGTCCATCCATTGGATTGGATCAACTCCCAGTCACGTTACGTCACTGTGGTCCTGGGAAACTCACCTCACGTAGTTGAAGGCTGTGGTTGAGATTTCAATCGCAGTTTGATACAGAACAGTACTCTGGCTCTCCTTGCTCCGCCAAGTGCCTGGTTACATACCCCTCTCATGCACGCGCATGTTTTTTGGGGAGATACTTTTTCACATTGGGCTAAGGGTAGAGGTCGAGAACGAGGCGGAGGTCACTGGAGGTCACCGGAAGTGACGCGTAGGGCTGGACTGCTACTCATATGCTGCAGCAATACCTCAGTTTCGGTAGTGTGGGGAGGGCTACCTGCGTCTTTCCCTCCATTTACGTGCAAAAACGTCAACTTTTACGTCTATATTCACTGCATTTGTGTGGCTCTTACCTCTGGGGACAAGGAAAAGCACAGTTCAGATCATATTTGAGGGGATTTAAGCTCTGGGGACCAGGTAACACTCCATATAACGTTACATGTAGGTAATGGGGACCAAATTGGTCATCAACGTTATATTTGTGTGGCTTTTACATCTGGGCTCTTTTTTTTTTTTAGCTCTGGGACTAGGTAAGGCAGCTAATACAGGAAACATTTGCACCGTACAAGTAATAATTGCAGGGCTGTCAGGTCTGGGGACCAGGTGAGACACCTTACAGGTGACTGACGTGTATTTCCTTTGACTTGGGTTGACTATGGACCAGGTGAGGTACCTTACAGGTGAGTTACGTGTATTTCCTTTGACTTGGGTTGACAATAGACCAGGTGAGGCACCTTACAGGTGAGTTACGTGTATTTCCTTTGACTTGGGTTGACAATAGACCAGGTGAGGCACCTTACAGGTGAGTTACGTGTATTTCCTTTGACTTGGGTTGACAATAGACCAGGTGAGGCACCTTACAGGTGAGTTACGTGTATTTCCTTTGACTTGGGTTGAC